TATACTGTGATTCGAAATTTTTAAAACGGACATATATTATCCAATTGACGAAAATGTGTGTTCAACGTTCTACATCGATTAAAATATTTAGACAATGATTCAGTATCATATCATAAATAAGAACATTAATAAAATAAATGAGTTTTTTGGCGGGATGGGTTTGGCGGGACGGGTTTTTGAATCAACAATAATAAAAAGATTAAAATATCATTAATCCGCCGCTTCAATACGTATTTAATCCTTATTTTTTTAATACAAATCACAGGACGGGTTAAGAAATTACAGAACGGGTTATATTTCGGAAATGATTTATATGGCGGACGAATTTGAATCAATATTTATATACCGCTTTAATACGGGTTAAATCCTCAGTTTATTAATAATTATCTCGTGGACTTGTGGTATACCGTTACTTAATAACAATTGTAAACTATAATATAAATAAATATGTTATAAGGAGATACAATTTACAAAATATTTTTATACTAACTTTAAAATTAAATCATCCCGCGGTGTACCGCGGGTTAAAATCTAGTCTTTGTTATTATGTCAACACGTTTAAGTGTGACAGTGAATGGTTGTATAGTGGGGAACATGGCCGGATTAAATGGATAAAGTGTGTAGAGGAGAAGAAATCAGATGAAGTCGAACGGTGGTATGCAATAGAGTGAATTTGCTTTTAAATTAAGAAAAGCGGACAGTACTTAGTAGGTTTGATTGGTAATCTTGTGTTGTAGCGGTATATACAGTTTTAACAGTTATTAATCACAAAACGATATTACAAATACTATTTAAATTTTTTTTACAATTTTTAATCACTATATTGTAACGTTTATATTAATCACAAACTATGATAATTTAGTATTAATATAAATGTCATTTTTAAATACATCATTATCTAAAAATTGGATCAAATAAAAATTAGGGCAATTTTTATAAATACTCTAAATTTTATTAGAAATTTGAAAACTACACTCAATTTTACCCTATTTTGAAAACTACACATTTTTAATGGAAAATTGACCATAATACCCTTTTTTTATTCATTTAAACATTGTTTAAATAAATTAACTAAAAATAAATAAATGAAATTTTTATAATTTAACTAAACTTCGTAATTAACTAATTAATAATAAATAATTAAGAAAATTAATTTAATATATTTAGAGTATCATTATGTAATTTAATATATATATATAATTTGATAATATTATTTAGATTTCTAATTATTCAAGAATAAGTAATTCAAAATTAAATAATTTATAATTAATAAACTAAAAATCTGTACACATATATTTTTGATATTTTTTACAGATTTATTTTATTCTATATTGATTTATTTTAAAGGTTGATATTTTGAACTATCGATTTATTTTTTACTTTTTGTTGATTTAATTTTCTTCTCTGTCGACTTGATTTAAAACATTTGACTTATGTTATAGCTAGTTGATTTATGAGATTTATAACATAGTCAGTTTTTTGAATTGTTGACTTATTTTTTTTTTGTTCATCGACTTTTAATTTATTCTGTAGACTTGTTTATACATGGTAGACTTACTTCATTATACTCTACATTGACTTATTATTAGGTCGATTTTTTACACTGTCGACTTAAATTTTATTTTCGTCGACTAAATTTATTTTATTTGATTATTTTAAAACAGTAGACTTATATTTTGTTTGATTGCTTTTTTATGTAGTCAACTTTTTGAAACTGTTGACTTTTTTTTTGTTGATTTCTCATTTTTTCTGTCGATTTGTTTATTCATGGTAAACTTATTTAATTTTACGTTGATTTATTAATAAGATTGATTTTTTGAACTGTCGACATATATTTTAGTTCTGTCGACTTAAATTTTTTTTTCTCTATTGACTTATATTAAAACAGCTGACTTATATTTTCCTAATTGATTTGTTACATTGTCGAATTTTTTTAACTGTTGACTTTTAAAAAAAAAAAAACGAGCTAATCATTTTTAGTAATTATATTAAATGAATAATTTGAATCTAAATTATGTAATTTATATTTGGAATTAGGTCAAAATAAATATAGTTTATTCGAATATTCATATATTTTTGAAATTGTCTTCTAAAAGAAAATATTAGAAAATTTAATTTGAATTATCTATATATACATTTTTGGAGACATTTATGAAATAAACCCTGAAGTTCCAACTTATTTACGATCAAATTGCTATTAATTATTTAGATTTTCAAAATTAAAGCAAAGATATTAACATAAAAAATTATTTCCAAAAATCTTAATCTAATATAATAAGCATAACTAATCCTTACCACAATTAGATCCATATTCAATTCGATTTTTAATCTTCAATCTTGACCGTTAGTCATACGCTATTAATTCAGAAATCATTATATAGAGTTAATTATTATTAATTAAAATTTTAAAAATATATATATATATATATATATATAATATCAAACTTTTAAATTGACTCGAATTATATGTCTATTAAATAAAATATTATTAAAAATAACATAATGATATTTAATTTCACGGGACGGGGTTATATAGTGGGAAGGGTATGAATCGATATTAATAGAGGACGGTAATAATATCACGGATAAAATCTTAAAATTAACAATCAAAATACAATTATACAATCTTAAACACTTAACAAAATAAACAATATTAAAAAATATAATTTAAAATTTAAGTTGTTTAGTTAAAAAATCGACCCGCAGTGTGCCGCGGGGTAAAATTTAGTATATAATTAAAATTTATAATTAATTTTGAAGTTAATTATTATATAAAAATTTTACCAAATCAACCAAATCTAGATAATTTATATTATACAACTAAAATTCATGATTTATTTGTTTGTAATTATATGAATTCTGAGTTTTTTTTTTTGGTAACGTTTATGTTACAAGATTTTATAAATTGTTTTTTTCTTAAAATCTGAATTTTAGGTTTAATTATTGATTATTATTAACCATGGTAAATTATTTCATCATTATCTAAAATCTTAAAAATAGTTTTTGAGTATCTAAATTTTTTAGTATAAACAATTTCATTTTAATTTTAAAATAATATTTCGAAAACGAATTAATTAAACTTTTATTATTTCTGAATTTTTTTTTTTTGATGAAATGTTAAATTAATATAGAGTACCAGAGTTATTTACAAATGGTATGACATAGTGGTGCTTCACCAAAACAGAGTTAAAAACGATTTGAAAAACAGAGCAAAACCAAGTTTGAAAAACAGAGCAACAGCCCCTATTGAGTCGTACGTGAGCTGAACCATCTTTGCATCAGCCCTCGTAAATTCTTCCTTTCAAAGTACCTCAGCGACATGATCCGAGTTTTTATTACCCTCTCAATCGTGCGAGCGAGTTGGAAATGTGTTCGGTGATGCGTATTGTGTCTCCTCTCATTTCGCTCTCTCCATACGTAATACACAGTAGCTTGGAAGCACAACCGAATGAGAATGGAATCATACCTCTCAAACGAATGTGTTACTAGCCGCTGAATTGTCTCCGTCCAGTCAGGATCTGGTGCAGTCCTTAAAAGGTCTCCTGCAACATGAATCCACACCATAAATGAATAGGGACACGCAAAAAACAGATGGTCGCGTGTTTCCTCAGGTTCGGCACAGAAAAGGCAGGCTTGGCTATCACCCCATGCTCTCATTCGTGACCCTGTGGTGAGTCTATCTCTGATTGCTAACCAGGTGATAAAAGCAAATCTAGGAACATTTTGCGGGAACCATACAACCTTACACCAATCCGTTGTTATTCCACGGGTTCGCAGTTGCTCCCATGTAGCAGCAGCCGTGTAAATTGGCCGGAAATCATCAGGTGAGTGTCTCCAGAGAACCACATCCCTGCCCGCTTCACTTGTTGGCGCCTCGAGACCCCGTATATGTTGGATTATATCCTGTGCAGCTCTGTTCCGACACCTGCGAAATCGCCACCCCGACGCATCCACCACCTCATAAACTTTAGCGTATTTAGGGATTCCAAACTGAGCTGTTGTCCCCAAGATATCCAGCAGCCGTCCCATGGGGAGCCATTTATCAAGCCAGAAGAAAGTGGTGCTGCCATCACCGATTTCACGATGTATAAACTCAGAGGCTAATGGTCTCAACTTGAGAAGTTTCCGCCATTGCCATGAACCCAGTGCAGTGACTTTTACATCCCAGAACGTGCCTTGCCGAATTAAATACCGATGAACCCATGCCACCCATAAGGATCCAGAACCCGAGAGTATCTTCCAAATCAAGCTTAAACCAAACACCCGAGAAACCTCATGTAGCCTCCGAATACCTAATCCTCCCTCTTCTTTAGGAAGACATAAAAATTATTTCTGAATTTTTATTATTAATTAAGGACAATAATATCATTTTGTGCAATATATAAGGTATAATTCAAATACTAAAATCTTCTAGGTAGATATCAAATTTCTTATGAGATCTAAGGTATACAATCAAATTAATCCTAAAAGTTACAAAAAATCTATAAAAACCGAATAACGTTCTAACAAAATTTTCAAAAATATTTTGAGTATCTAGTTTATTTTATTATAAACAGTTTGATTTTAATTTAAGAATAATATTTGTTATAACTAATTAATTAAAATATTTTATTTTTTCATTTTCTTATTTTTAATATTTATTAAAGGCAAAAATGTCATTTCGGAACCAATGTAAAGTATATTTCAAATAGTTTAATATTATGGTATAGATTTCAAATTTCTATTAAAATATAAGGTAGAGAATCAAATTAATCAAAAAAAACATGCTTATGCTTTCCTATAACGTAAACTCCTATGGCTTTGAACACTGAAAGTCATAACTGATCCAAAACAGATTAACAAAGAAACTAATATAATTTTCATTTTTTATAAAACAATCACTTTTTTACGGCAAACAATCAATTAAAAAAAATAGAAATATGTCAAACAATTTAATTATTCAGTAGAAACACAAAAAAAAAAAAAAAATAGCATCACTTACATTTATGAAGACACCAATAAGAGAAAAAGGCAATAGTAATTTACATTCCCATTAAAAAAATTTCTTATTGTTATAGTTTCATACGACACCAACACATTGGTCTCTAAATCAAGATCCATGATTGTTTATTTAGGTGGCTGTGATGAAACAAGAAGACGGAGGACTAGATACAAATCAGCATTTGCTCTAATTCTAAGCTAACACTCAAATAGGTACAATATCAACGATCATTCAACTTGAAGAATCGACACTAAAACCGAACCCAACACCGAGTGCATTGCGCAACACAATCTCCTTTACAATCAACATTGTATCCCAACACTTTCGGATTCCGAAGCAACAGATTTCTTAGTTGCTTACCCGTAATCCCCCATTGGTTTTCCAAAATCCCAATGTTTGGTTTCATCTCCTCTTCAAGACTGCAACCGAGTACTTCCGGGAATTTCTTCATCACCTTGTGCAGATCTTCGTCCGATAAACCGAGACTTCTAAGGAACTCCAGTATTTGATTCAAAGTTTCCACTTTCGGATTCTCTTTCACTCGTTCTTCTGTCCAGTACGGAGAGTGGATATGACCAAACGCTTTTCCTAGTATCTTGTCTTTCTCCTCTACACTAAAATCAAAACAAGACAGAGCTTCTTTGCATTCTTCCCATGTCTTTGGATCTTCATTAGAGGTTTCCACTTGTGTTGTTGAACAAAACACTATCCATTTCTTTCGCGAAATAAGAGATGTCCTTACTCCTCCAATCACACCATGATACGATGAGTTCGAGTTCAGGCTCAATGGTAAAACAGTAGTGTATGTTACAAGATCACCCTGCAAAATTGAAAGCATTGTACATCCCATGAGATTTCAGGAAAAAACCACGAGAAATATAAGTTTTTTATCGAAGATTTTGTTACGTACTGTAGGGTGGCGAAAGCATTTGGCAGGACCCAATGTTGCCAAAGGTGAAGCTAACGAGTTTCCCACCATCTCCTGTTTCAGCAACAGACCAAAAAATATCCATTGACGAGAGTAACTATAATGCAGAAGATCAGCAATTCCATTCAAAACTATGTTTGTATCGATTGGAAGTCAAGACTATCGCATAGTCACGCTCTAGAAAAATGAAATCCACCACTTATTTTGAATCGAAATTTAGTTCTGATACTTTATAAGAGTTCGTTCACCTGTAAAACTCATTCATTAACTCTGTAAACATGTATACACACGCGATGAAACGAAGTACTGATTCGATACTAACAGCTCTCTAAATCTCTCTAACTAACTCACATTCATACCCATAAAGAAGAGTGAAGCAAAATAGTAACTGAAGAAGTAATAGTGTTCTAAATCACAAATGGGTATTGAACAAACCAATACAATCTAAGTACAAATCATATGAGAATACATAAAGGACAAAACTTTGTATCAATTTGATGAACAAAATCATAATGGAACTATAAAGTCATTTCAATTTCATATAATCTAGATCAAATCTTACTCTTCTCCAAAAAAAAAAACACAATGACTTGTCCTAAACCAATTCATAAGCTCTTCTTTGTAATAAAAATCCAAACTTTCGTGTAACCCCTATTCGAATTCGAGAATCTAATTCATACAGATTGAGAACAGAGAAGAGATTGAAACAAGGATCGAGAACACCATTGATGCAAGTGGAGAAATATACCTAGAGTGTGCGAGGATACTCTTAACTCGGTCGCCGATCACTGAGTCAGATAAGCAACCGAGTCAACAAAGTCTGAGAAACCGTGATCAGAAGATTGGTGAAGGTGAGAGATTTAGGAACCAACCATTGTTTCGTTGAGAGATAGAGAGGCAACGTCCTTACGTTGTTTCCAACAGCCACGACGCAATTCTGTTTCCAAAACTAAACCGTACCGGTTATTTAAACCGGTTTGAACTCTGAACCAGACGCTAGTCCGGTCTGATTTATCATAGAAGAGGGAGGGAGATTACATAAGCTAGAGTAGACAGAATTTAAGGGAACATCCCATTTTTTTTTAAAATAGCTAATTTAAACCTACAATTTTACTATTTTAAACTTTTAAAATGGTTTTAGTATTCGCGGTTCCACAAAACTGATACAGAATTTCACCAATCGATCAATCAACACACGGATTCAAAGAACAAATTCATGAAATAAGAACAATCTAAACAACGTTCATAAAACGCAGCATAGTTTACCAAGCCAGCTCTCAAGATGAGAGAAACCCAGCCATTACAGAGAAGGTTCTAGAAGAAAGGAGAATATCAGAAATTACAATGATAATCAGAAAATGTATTTAGTCGCTTATTATTTATGCAGTCTTCTAACGGTACAACCAAACTCGCCACTCTTCTTCCTCCACGTGTTGATATTTGATTGGTGCTGTTACCACTTGATTCTCGCACGTGTAAGCCGCACGTGTTGTTCTGTATCAAATCTCCCCTGTTTGCGAAACCTTGACCACAAGGTTACTTAAGCATCAAAGTGAGGGAATTTCAGCTTAAGGTCAAACAGGAACTCCCAATTAGCTTCTTCGACTGGTTCTGCCTTCCACTTCACCAAAACCTTAGTCGCAGCTTGGCCTTGTCTATTCACCATCTTGCATTCAATGATTCTTTCCGGTACTCTGACAAAAGCATCTTGTAAAACAGAAGGTAAGTGAGTTGAGGTGTGAACATTACCACCAACACTTTGAGCTGGGAAACATGGAAGACTGGGTGAACTTGAGAAGATTTTGGTAAATCCAATTGATAAGCCACAGCTCCACACTTGTATGTTCTTTAGTGATGCTTTGTACTTGAACATCCATCGCTTGGGAAACTTGATCTTTTTGTTTCTCATGACAACTTGAATGACCAAACTGGTTTGCAACAGCTGCTCACTAAAAACTCTGGCCAATTGCTGCATGTCCTCTCCACATGTGCCCGTCGCTTTAATCAATGTCTTCTCCATAGAAAATTGTTCATCTAATAACGCAACACATGCAACACTTTCAAAACTGAACTGCAACTCAGAAACTAGTAGTAAGAACTTAACTCTCCACTTGTGCTTTATTTGGAGCTCTGTCATCCGTGTGTTGATTGATCGATTGGTGAAATTCTGTATCAAAAACTTAACAGATAAATTGATTCGATCAATAGAACAATTTATTTTTCGTTACAAAATGTTGTTGTAGCTTTAATAATTATTTTTATTTTATTAAGAAAATGATTTAAATTAACTTTTTTATCAATCAGTAATATATATTTTATAGTTATAAAAAGGTGAAAAATAAACATTTTTACCCCACAATTATAGCTTAAATCTCTAGATCATAATACACGGTTCTTGCTGTGAAATTTCTGAAAGAGTAGACACACGAAAAAAAAAAAAAAAAATTGGAAAAAAGATAAGGAGAAGAAGCCATTCACAGCAAAGACTGAATTTTGGTGTTTTTTTTTTGTAATTTTGAAATACATTATTAATGATAAATAAAATATTTTAATTAAAACTAAATATATACTAAAACAAAAAAAAAATGAGAAATTGTTAAAAATGTCCCTTTTTCAATACCTCTTTTCAAAAATGCCCCCTTTGAGAGTCCATTTTTAAGTTTACCTTCTTTTAATTTTTAATGACCATTTTACCCTTATTTGAAATAAAATTAGGTCCACAAAATACAAAATATTTTTTGGCGGAAAAAGTGATCCCGCAATTTTCCCGCCAAAACACTTGTAAAAACTTGTAAAACCTTTAAAATATCTTGTAAAATTTTTCCCGCAAAAAAAATTTCCCGCCAAAAATTTTTTTTGGCGGGAAAAGTGATTCCGCAAAATTTTTGGCGGGAAAAATTTACAAGGTATTTTAAAGGTTTTACAAGTGTTTTGTAAAGTTTTACAAGGTACTTATAAGGTTTTATAAGGTATTTATAACTTGTAAAACCTTATAAAAAAACTTGTAAAACCTTATAACTTGTAAAACCTTATAAAATAGCTTGTAAAATCTTATAATATCTTATAAATACTTTATAAATACGTTGTAAAACCTTTTAAAATACATTGTAAAACCTTATAAATACCCTGTAAAAAACCTTTAAAATACCTTGTAAATTTTTCCCGCCAAAAAAATTGCGGAATCACATTTCCCGCAAAAAAAATATTTTGGCGGGAAAAAATTTTACGGGAAAATTTTACAAGGTATTTTAAAGGTTTTATAAGTTTTTATAAAATCAAATTTGTAATTTTGATGTGTGCACATTCTCATGTTTTCCTTATATATTTGTGATATCTTTTATTAAAAGAAGGGTAATTTAGTCATTTTGTATATAAAAAAGAGGTATTTTTAAAAATAGACAGCCAAAGGGGGTATTTTTGAAAAGTGGTATTGAAAAAGGGACATTTTTGTGAGTCTCCCCACAAAAATAATTATTAAAACTATTTCATTATTTATAATAAAATTAAAATTTTACTAAATTAAAAAAATTATTAAGGAGAAGAAGCAACTCACAGCCAGTGCACTCCACTGTCTATCATCTCTGCGATCATTTGTCCAAAAACTGAAGACCACACCAACAACAAATATCGGACCAGAAAGTAGACGCAGAAGCAGTTAGAGGCCTCTTGAGCTGGTTTGTTATGGTGGTCCACTGGTCCTTAGGGTTCACGAACTCTGTCACATTGAATATCTTGGCAACAATGTTACTAACATTATGTTAGTAATGGTGTTTTTCCCTGAGAAATCGAAGGAAAAATCTCAACTTACAAAGAAGAACTTGGAAGTTATCCAAGAGATCATTGAACATTACCCTTTATGTTTTGAACAATGCACTAACGGGGTTATGTATTACAAAGCCTCTCTTACACTTGATCATGCTGATAATATCCTGGTGAGCTTCCATGTTAAATTTGAAAAGATGAGTATGATCATAGTATACCATCAAATCATCGTAGTGGTCCTTTCCTAAGACCTTACCACAGAAAGTTGGCTTGTGTTATTTCAGAAGCTAATGATATAACAATGTGGATTTTGGAGGATGCAGAGAAACACGTGTGGTCGTATAAACATCTTCGTCTACCTTTTCCACTCTTTGATCCTTTACACATCGTTTAAATAGTTTTTGTGAGCTTAATTTGTCAAACAAGAGAATAGAAGAAGATTTAACTTATCTTGCTAAGACCCTAAGGTCGAGTATTTATACAAAAGATCAAAGCCCCCAATTACATGACTTGGGGATAAAGGCAAATATACTAAAGAGATTTGAATGTATCTTGTAGAATAGGAAAATATCCTCAATACCCCCCTTCAAGTTGGAGCATGTAGGTTTCGAATGCCCAACTTGAGAAGAAATGCATCAAACTCCCGACGTCCTAAAGCTTTCGTAAGAATGTCCGCAAGTTGATCCTCCGTGGAAACATGAAATGGCTTGACAATGCCCTTGATAATTTCATCCCGAACAAAATGACAATCACGCTCGATATGCTTGGTACGCTCATGAAAAACCGGATTAGAACTAATGTGAATGGCCGGCTTACTATCACATCGTATCGTCATGGGTCCACTATGGTCAATACCTAGATCTTGAAGAAGCTCACGTAGCCATTTTAATTCCTTAGTAACCGCATTCATTGCCCTGTATTCCGCCTCCGCCGATGACATAGAGACCACGTCTTGTTTCTTAGTTTTCCATGAAATTGGAGAAGAACCAAGCTGAACAAACCAGCCCGTTGTAGAGCGTCGACTCAACTGGCAACCCGAAAAATCAGAATCACACCATCCCGTCAAATGAAAAGGAGAATCAGATCGAAGAAGAATGCCCTGGCCAAGTGTACCTTTGAGATACCTAACAACTTTCAACGCAGCCAACCAATGTTCCTCATGTGGAGTCTTCATAAATTGAGAAAGAACATGGACGGCGTATGTAAGGTCCGGACGGGTGGCAAGCAAATATACAAGGCGTCCTACAAGTCTCCGATAACTTTGAGGGTCGGCGAGCACAGCTCCGGTCGGACGAGTGAGACGGTGATTTTGATCAATAGGAGAACCGGCCGGTTTACACCCAAGAAGACCGGCTTCTGTAACGATCTCAGTGGCATACTTTCGTTGACACAAGTAAAAACCAGAAGCATTTCGAGCTACCTCGATACCCAAAAAATACTTCAAGAATCCCAAATCTTTCATATGAAAGCACGTCGAGAGATAATTCTTAAATGTCTTGATTTCCTCCGCAGAATTACCAGAAATGATCAAGTCATCCACATAAACCAAGATACGAAGTGAAATACCTTTCTTGGAATACACAAACAAAGAGTAATCGGAACGAGTTTGTGAAAAACCGTACTTGAGAAGTGAATCGACTAACTTGGCAAACCAGCACCGGGGAGCCTGTTTCAATCCGTATAAAGACTTGCGGAGACGACATACACGGGTTTCATTTGGAGAAGAAAATCCCTGGGGTAGTTTCATATAGACCTCCTCATGGAGATCCCCATGAAGGAAAGCGTTATGGACATCCATTTGGTGAACTTCATGATTTTTCTTTGCAGCAAAGTCAAGAAACATGCGGACCGTAGTCATCTTCGCCACCGGACAGAATGTTTCCGTGTAATCAAGGCCTTCTTCTTGATGATTTCCAAGAACCACAAGACGAGCCTTATGCCTTTCGATCGATCCATCCGAGCGAAGCTTAATAGTAAAAAACCCACTTACTACCAAGTGCTTTCTTATTTGGTGGCAACTCCTCCAAATCCCATGTATGATTTCTTTGTAACGCATCTACCTCGGAGCCCATCGCATTTTTCCAGACCTCATATTTCATGGCTTCAGCGAAAGAGCGTGGTTCCACATTAGTTGTGAGAGCTGCCAGGTAGC